AGCGGCACCTATACCTGGCACGGCTACATCTCTTCTTCACTTCCAGGCTACGTGATGAAGAGCAGCAAGAACAGTGCGCTTCCTGTGGTATCTATGATGAGAGAAGCAGAGTCCCAGTTACTTCCAGATGTGGGAACTATTGTAACCTGTAAGGTCTCATGCTTTGCCAAAGTGCACATCCTATATGTGGGCTCCACACCACTGAAGAACTCCTTCCAAGGAACTATCAGAAAGGAAGCTGTCGGAGCATCTGAAAAAGATAAGGCTGAAATTTATAAGTTTCTGCCCAGGTGACATTGTTTGGGCCAAAGTGATCTAAGTGATGCAGAGTCCAACTACCTGCTGATCACTGCCATAAATGAGCTGGGTGTGGTGGTGGCCCACAGTGAATCAGGTGTCCAGATGATTCCCACTAGTTGATGTGAGATGCAGTGTCCTAAGACCCACACTGAAGAATTCCGGAAAGTGGCCAGAGTACAGCCTGAATTTTTGCAGACCTAAGATGGTACATTTTACCCCATGGAGGGGGTAGCTATTTCTAAGAGTACGTGATGAAAATAACATCAAGATGCCATGGTCTTTATTCAGATACCTGGGGTCAGCCAGTAACCACTTCTAGAAAAATCTGCCAGTAATTTATTATAGGTGGAATGTTATTTTTATGAACCTTTTATAAATTGGATTCTTGAGGATAAAGCTTCTCTTTGGGGGAATTCCAACAAACTGTGTAACTTTGGAGATAGCCTGACAGGCCTTTTAAGTATATATATTTTTGCTGCAACAAAGAAAACATTTTTATTAAAAGGAAAAAATTATTTGTTTTTTATTCTAATTTGTTATATATGGCAGCAGAATGCATTATAATTCACATTACACATATAGAACACGACTTTTCAAATCTCTGGTTGTATACAAAGTATATTCACACCATTCGTGTCTTCATACATGTACTTAGGGTAATGATGTCCATTTCATTCTTTTTTTTTTTTTTAGAGAGAGAGAATTCTTTTTAATATTTATTTTTCAGTTTTCGGCAGACACAACATCTTTGTTTGTATGTGGTGCTGAGGATCGAACCCAGGTCGCACGCATGCCAGGCGAGTGCGATACCGCTTGAGCCACATCCCCAGCTCCTCCATTTCATTCTACCATCTTTTATACTCCTGGGCCCACTCCCTCTCACCCCTTAGCCCTATCTAGAGTTCATAGAATCCTCCCATGCTCCTCCTCTCAACCCACTATGAATCAGCTTCCTTATAACAGAGAAAACATTTAGCATTCAGTTTTGGGGGATTGGCTAATTTCACTTAGCATTATATTCTCCAACTCCATTCATTTACCTTCAAATGCTGTAATTTCATTCTCTTTTATTACTGAGTAATATTCCATAGTGTATATATACCACATTTCTTTATCCATTCATCTATAAAATGTCATCTAGGTTGCTTCCACAGTTTAGCTATGGTGAATTGTGCTGCTATAAACATTGATGTGGCTGCATCACTGTAGTATGCTGTTTTTAAGTCCTTTAGGTATAGACCGAGGAGTGGGATAGCTGGGTCAAATGGTGGCTCCATTCCCAGCAATCCTTAGCAAGAAGAGTGAAGCAGGTGGCATCACTATACCAGATCTTAAACTATACTCCAGAGCAATGGTAACAAAAACAGCATGGTATTGGCACCAAAATAGACCAGCAGACCATTGGTACAGAATAGAGGACTCTACCCCCACATAATTACAGTTATCTTATATTAGTCAAAGGTGCCAAAAACATACTTTGGAGAAAAGATAGCCTCTTCAACAAATGGTGCTGGGAAAACTGGAAATCCATATGCAACAAAATGAAATTAAACTCCTCTTTTTTCTTTTTTTTTTAAGGTACTGAGGATTGAACCCTGGGCCTCATGCACATCAGGCATGTGCTCTACCACTGAGCTGCGACCTCAGCAGTGTATCTAAATTCTTTTACTAACATTATGTCTGTCACATTCTTCCTGTTGTTGGAGGTAATGGTCTATTCTTTGCTCTCTTTTTGGAAGAGTGCTGGGGATTGAACATGAATACAAAGCAGGCATTCTACCACTGAGATACATTCTCCAGTCCCCAGTACCCTGCTTTTCATTTCTGTGTATAATTATTTTCTTGTGTGACTTGAACACAGTATGTATTTTTCCCTTTGGTGAATACTTTCTACGGTTTGGCTTGTATGAATAAAAGTGTTCTTATTCCTGTCTTTTGTTGGATATAAGCACTGATCTCTCTTGGTTATAGAGTAGTTCCCCCATCTTAAGGGGATGCATTCCAAGATCCCTATATTTGTGTTAATCAACTCTCCAGGACTGAAACAAGTGTCTGAGATAGTCAACTAATAAAAGAAAAGGCTTATTTTGGCCAACAGTTTCAGAGGTTTCAATCCATGATCAGTTGGCCCCTTAGCTTCGTGAGCATGAAAGCCCTTCATGGCGGGAGCACATGGTAGAGTAAATCTGCTCACCTCATGGCTGGGAGGTGAAAGAGGAGGAGGAAGGGCTGGTTCCCACTTCCACTTCTAGGGTACACCACCTAAGACCTGGAGACCTTCCTCAGGTCCCACCTCTTAAGGCTTCTGCTACTGCCCAGCACCCAGCTGAGGACCAACCTTTCTACACATTGGGGGACATTTCACATCAAACTATGGGGATGTTTTTTTATATACATAAAAATTAATAAAATTTAATTTATAAATTAGGCGCAGTAAAAGATTAACAATCACTTATAGTAAGAATGAACAATTATAATAAGTTGTAATGAAAGTTATATGAATGTGGCCTCTCAAAATATCGTAGTGGAGATCTCAGCAACATCAGCGCTCAAGTTTTTCTTTTTCCTTGTTAAGAACATTCACCTTTTCTCTTAAATACTTTACGGCTTGTCTTTGGCGTATTCAAATTTCCAGCATCACTATTTGTTATAGCGTAAATCTAAAATGTCCCTCAAAAGCTCCCGTGTTGAAAACTTCATCCCCAGAGCACCAGTGTTCAGAGGTGGGGTGATTGGATCAGGGGGCTCTGACCTCATAAATGGATTGATTGATCCATTTATGGATTCATAATTGACGGAATATTGGGAGGGGTGGACACCTTAGGAGGTGGGGCCTAGTAGAAGAAGATGACATTGAGGGTGTGTCCTTAAGGGGTATATTTTGTCCTTAGCCTTTTGTCTTTCCCTCTCTCTTTCTTCCTCTCACCCTCTCCCCTCCCCGCCCTGCTTTCTGGCTTCCATAGGTAGGCAGCTTTGCTCCAGGATCTCAGTGCTAGTGCTGGGGATTGAACCAGGGCACTTCACCAATGAGCTTTATCCCCAGCACTTTTGATTTTTTTTTTTTTTTTTTGAGGCAGGGTCTCACCAAGTTGCCCAGGCTGACCTCCAGCTTGTGCTCCTTCTGCCTTAGCCTCCTGAGTAGCTGGGATTATAGGTGTGCCCCACTGTGTCTGACCTGCCTGTCTTTTTGCTGTTGTGTTGTTTTGTTTTATGGGGCTGGGATTTAACCCAGGGATGCTCTACCACAGAGCTATATTCCCAGACCTGTTTTTTGTTGTTGTTGGTGGTGTTATTTTAGTCTTGAGTCAGGACCTCTCTAAATTATTGAGGCTGGTCTCTAATTTATGATCCTCCTTCCTCGGTCTCCCTGTTGCTGAGATGGCAATCACGCACCATTGCACTGGGCTCTGCCTTGTCGTTTTCCTTAATACAGGCCCAAAGCAACAATGCCAAGTGGCCGTGGACTAAAAACTGAAACTGAGCCAAAATAAATCTTTCCGTGTTTAAGTTGATTTCTCTTAGGAATTTTGTCTCCATGACATAAAGCTGACTAATGCTACTCTTGTCTTTTAGGGCCATTATTAAGTAAAAAAAAAGGGTAGGGGAGGGGTTTTACTGGAACACAAGCACCATGATACCATGGCAGCCAGTCTGATGACTGACACAGGTACTAGGTGACTAGTGGGCACCTAGCAGAAACATCTTGGAAACCAGACCAAGGTCAGACAGTAGGACAGCCCAAGATTCCACCAACCTACTCAGAAGAGTACACAATTTAAAATGTATCAATTGTTTGTTTGTTTCTGGAATTTTCCATTTAATATTTTCAGATCACAGTTGATCATAGTAATTGAAACCACAGAAAATGAAACCACAACCCAGGAAGACTACCACATGCTGCAAGTGGAACTGCAGCTTTAGTGAGTACTCCCAAATGGTTTTCCAAAGTGCTGACACTAATCTGCATTCCCACCAGCAAGGCTGTGGGTCCACGACTCCACGTCTGGCCACACCTTGGTAGTATCACACCTTTGATTTCACCAGATGGGTGATATCTGGCAGGGTTGCAGCAGCATATCATTGTGGTTTTTATTTGCATTTCTCTATTAATTAATGATCTTGAATACTTTTTAATATGCTGATGGTTTATTTAGGTATCTTTTATGAAATTATTAATCAAATTTTCTATTTTTAAGTTGGGTTATCTTATAGACTTGTAGGAATTGTTTTTATATCCTGAGTATAGTCTTCTGTCACATATATGTGTTGTAAATATCGTCTCCCATCCTGAGACTCAACTTCTCAGTCTTCAGTCTTCTTTTCTTTTTCTTTTTTCTTTTTTTCTTTTTGTGGTACTGGGAATGGAACCCAAGGCCTGACACATGCTAGGCAAGCTCTATCACTGAACTACATTCCCAGCCTGCCATTTCAGTTTCTTTCATTCTTCCTTTTTGCTCTGCTGGTGCTGGGGATTGAAACCACTGAGATATACCTCCAGCCCTTTTTTATGTTTTATTTTGAGATAGGGTCTCATTAAGTTTCTGAGGCAGGCCTCGAACTTGGAATCTCCTTGCCTCAGCCTCCTGAGAAGCTTGGATTACAGTATGCAACACCGTACCCAGCCTTCATCTCTTAAAACTGCCTTTAAGAGGGCTGGGGTTGTAGCTCAGGGGTAGAGCGCTTGCCTGGTGATAGACCCAACCT